AAAAATTCATTCTTAGGTATTTTAGTATTTTTTACTTATTTACACCAATAAAAAGCATAAAAATTATAAGAGAAAATTGTTTGGTTGAAATTTCCTATTAGTTAAGATTTAAAATATTATTTTCTAAAAGAAGTAGTTACAAATTTCCTTACAGCATAGGTAAAGCTAAAAAAATATTCAGCCCTGAAAGCATGCAACAGCTTTATAATTGTTTGGAACGTTAATTTGGCTTGTTAAATATGCTAAATTTTAAAAAATCAATCTCACTTTCAAAAATAAAAATATCCAAAAATTCTAATTTGTGAAATGGGGCGCTACAACCAACTTTTTCTTGACAATTATACACACTACAATAGCCAACCATTGTTAAGTTTATGCAAGTAGTCCCTACTCCTCCGGATGTGGTCAAGGGGACAGCTGGAAATGCGTCAGAAGAGGGAGAAAAGTCTTTTGGGTTGGTCTTTTTCTTATAAAGTCCATGGATGTTGACCATTCAACTCGTTTACCCTCTTATGCGTAACCTTGTTGATCTTACTAAACTTGGCCCATAATACTCGGATTGTATTTAAACTTACTGCATTATCCTACGCAGGTAAGCTATATCACTTGATTAGAAGTGATATTCAAGCTTCCTTCAACTTGACCCTGAAGATAACTTGAAACAGCCTTGAAAGGGGTCGGTGTCCTCCAGTGTAAATTTATTGCAGTCCAAGAAACCAGAGACTTAGGAGCTGCTTCAAAGCGAACGTCAACTAATGAGTTACTTACAGCTGATAAATACACTTGATGTGATTTATTTTAATTTTAATTGACCAGTTTGTTTAGGTTTTCACTATATACCGGTGACCTTTCCATCGCTTACAACAGAGCTGGAATAATCTTTAAGCAAAATAAGCACGAGTTTTGGGCATCAAGGAAAGAGGCCACCACAAAAAGGTGCTTAGGGCTCCAGGTAAGGAAGTACCATAAAAATTTCCCATTGTTAGTTTTACCATAAATTGCATACCTAAACCAAGACCCAGAAAGAAGGAACTGAGGGAGGGACATACTGTAAATGTATGTGGGTGCCACCAAAATCGTTTAAAGACTTAGGGCCTTTAAAAGTCTTAATACTGCCTTGACATATAATAGCGAAAATCAGATTGTAAGTCACTTGTGACCAACAACTTTGATAGGCAAAGTGCGCTTCCAATTAATATCATATTCTTTGCACGTAAACCACATAACATTCAATTCAACAGCAGTATCACGAAATATTTGAAAACGGCATATCTTTAGAATTTCCGCGCTGGAGATAAAAATTTTATTTTCCGTACAGTGTTGCCATCGCTCGCTTTGAACTCGTTGAGTTTGCTAATCAAAAATTCGTTAAAAGTTTTACGAAATACGATATGGATTAAAACTAATTGAAAATTCGGCTGTTTGGGTGGAGGATTACGTTATTCAAAATTTGATGGCCCAGTATTCATAATTTAAGAATTTATTTAAATGCACTACACTGCCTCACACGAATAATCTATGGTTTGTGACACGAAGCGACTCTCAGCTCGTGCCACAAACCATGGATTAACTGCTGCGATGAGTCTTGATAGGCACCAGCGTGCTTGGATTTAATTTAAATTTAGTTCATCACATCGCTCCAGCGACATAGGGAACGACCTTCGTGACCTTCAAACCCTCAGCGTGATCAACAGCTTTGATGAACACCAATGTACTTTATTTTAATTTAAAATGCTACCATAGTTTACCTGCCACACCATTGACCTATGTTCTGACAGGGCTGACTATCGGCCTTTAGGTAACCGGGCAACAAACTACTGACGGCCATTTGCAGTTTATTTTCGTTTATACTACATGCATTTGATGGATAATTTGAAATGGAATCTTCGTATTAGTTTGATTGAAAAGTTTCGTCGTTTAATTAAGAGTCGTTTGAACTGAGATCATCCTAACCCAATTGCTATATTTTTTAAACATTTCTAATGAAAACATTCCTTTGAGACTTAGATTGCAATGCGAAGCTTTCAAATTGCAAGTTTTTACTTTTTAGACTGAAAGAGTTATTAGTTTCAAAACTCAATTTTTCGTCAAACCACTTTTGTGCAGCATACTTCTTTCTTCTCGGCAGTCGTTTATTGTCCTGGTTCGGATCGCATATTTCACAAGTGCACATCTGTGTAGCTACCGAGGGAGTGGCTTCTAGCATGGACCAATGAGCTTCCAGTAATATTTCTGTCATCTCACATAACCTTTCGCACGCTTTGAGATTTAAGTAAGATATTTGAAAATATTTTGCCACGCAATTTTCTGTACAAATTTCTGTACATCGTCTATTTCTTCTGAAAATTTTCATTGCGAAGTTAGATCAAATCTAAGCAATTGGGAAGATCTCACTACCTGGTTGAAATAATTTGAAATAAATACAAACACATGTTGGATACTTGGCAAAAATATCCATGTGAAATATTACTTAATAAACGGTAAATAAGATGAAGAAAGAAATATGTGATAAACATCTGAGCTCAAATTCTATCTTTACATAAAATTATGCATATGAAAAAAATATTTACACCAATTATGTATGCAAATAGAAGTCAGCACTTTTTGTTACAGTCTGTATGAAAAAGATGTTCTACAATAATAGCCAATGCATAATTTTATTCAAAGTTTTATTCATTCATTCACTTCACTAATTTGCATTTAGTGTGTTAAATTTCAATTTAATGACTGCTCACTCTTAAATATACTATCTACACAAGAAATACTCATCAAACAGAATGAATTTATCTATTCACAACGAATATATTCAATTTATTCACAATATGTATTCTGAATCTTACACTTTCAAAAGAATGCAAGCACTGAAATAAGAAAACACTAGAATCATTGTAACACTTTCAGTCCTTCTCAGCTCAAAAATAATAATAATAAAAATAATTAAAAAAAGGTTATACACACGAATTCTCTTACCCCACATTTGTTAGTAAATGCATAATATTTGAAGCTAATTGTAGCTTGAGTAATTTTTTCTATGTAAAGAGCCATAATATGCCGTGAACATCAAATATCAATGAGTGATAAAAATCGCGAAAGTGAAAGCGATTAATTAAACTCATAAACGAAAGCACTACGAGATTTTCTACTGTTACGCAATACATTTATAACTGCGAAACAAATGCAAATTAAAACGTAAACAACATACGCTGACATGCACGAAGATTCAGCGTCACAAGAGCAAGATGCTCATTGGTCCATTTTCGAAACCCCTCCCTCAGTGGCTACGCTGATGTGCACTTGTGAAATATGCGTTCGGATCTGTACTTTAGCAGTCTCGGCACCGGAGGATAAAAACACGAGCTTGGTGTTTCTCGAAAGCTGTTTAATCTGAATGGAATATCAATAAGCTCCACGTGCGGCCTTGTGCGGCTCCAGCGAGTTGTTGCATCTGGTTAGTGGAAGGCGTGGGACATATGCCTGCTTACCCCTGTTAAACACCAGGCGTCCCCGTCCTCCGTCACCTGTCACCTGTTTCTCGAAAGCCCAAGGTAAAGGGCTTTATCCCGACCTTCACGGGTGAAGGTGGCATTAAGTTCTCGGGTGAAGTGGCATTAGGACACCAGCAGCGAAATAGCACCTGGGCTTGGAGATCTTTTCTGCAAATTCTTAAAGTGTACGAACACTTTTGCGAGACACTGTACATCAGTAGCAACTATAAAGGAAATAATAAACCAAGATTTATAACTTAAAAAAGCTGAAAAGCTTAATGTTCACCAGCGTAAAGTTCACCAGGCATGTGGCACAACGCAGAACAGTTTGTAGAACCTATACGAAAACTATTTAGCAAGATGTAAATGGAAATATATCGTGACCCTTGATGAAGCATGAATTTACCTAAATGACTGCAACAAAAAAGTCTATTTGTTAAAGGAAAACGTTAAGAGGGGGGAAAAAAAAAACTACAAATCTGGATGCAAAACAAGCTTCAGTAAGGGGTTTATGATTGTCGCTGAATTAACTTACAATGGAAAATTAAAAATAAGAAGAGAGGGGGGGAAGTGTTTAAACCACCTTTACATACCATGTAGAAAACGTTTTACGTTCGATATACACAGAAGATATTCTATTTCTTTATCCCAACGACCTTTCAAAGAATGAATCTTCATCAAGACAAAGCAACAAGTCATACTTCAAAAAGTACCACTGCATTCCTTGAAAAAATGAAGACTGATACAGGCATTGCATCTTTTCAACGTACTAATGATGAAATCCCTTAATGTTTCACCTCTGAACTATTGTGTTTTTGGTATCTTGAAAAGAGCTGTAAGTTCAAACCCTTTGCTTTGGAAAATAGTGGAAGAAAAATGGAAATCAGTATTACTGGAAAGTTTACGAAAAGCCCTTCTGTCATAGAAATCCTGATGCAGACTTATAATCCAGAATAAAAGTTATCAGATCGAACATTAAAAAAAATAATTTTTAACAATTTAACCCTTAATTACGTGGCCCCGAAATCGTTCAAAAATGTGTAAAAACTTTCTGTATTTACAGAAATTTACAACAATATATATTCTATTAGAGACTGCGTTGTAAGAGTATAGCTTATGTGTATATTATGATCGATTTTTAAAGCAAAAAGAAAGATCGAAAGAAATAGCTCCTCTGGGGGTTAAAATGTGTTTTAGTAATGGCTGTTGTTTTCTAATAAAAACAGTTTGAGCGGATTTGGTAAACGTTACATCATTGCAATAAAAGCTAAAATTATTACAAGAAATTTATTTTCTTTTATTAGTCTTATTAACCACCTGAGTCAACTAAATCTTCTAACATCGGATAAATCTGTTCCGAAGTTATTTTACCTACGGAAAAAGTTCTGGGCACCGAAATAGCATGCGCACAAACATAACTCCATCCATCGCGCATCGGAGATCATCGAATAGGATCGTTTCTGCTCCGTTCAATCGTCCGCTTGTTCCACCCAAACGATAGTTGCTGCGCTTCCGGTCAACGGCAGAGGGTGATAGTAAAAGATTTGGAACAAAAACTTTGCTCTTTTTAAATCAGTTATATAACATTTACTAGAATTTTATAAGGAATGAAATTAAGTAATTGCACGTTAAATCGAATAACTAAAAATATAGACTTTTAAAAACTTTTTTTCCTTGAGAAATAAAATTTTAAGTTCCATTTAAGAGAGGAAACATTTAAAGAATAAAAATTAAAACTATTAGTTTATAAGGCGAACAGTGGAAGAAGTTCTGGTTAATAAAATGACCTTCATAAGAATTCTGCCATTCATAAGAAATTCTTAAGAGGGAAGCGCTTTCCGCAATGTGGTGTGTGCTCCTGCTCCTGTGCGTAGCTTCATCCGCTCCGGAGAGTACTTGGCCGGTGGAAGATCGGATTCTGCAGCTCCGTACTGCAACTTCCAGACCAGAGTCTCCCCCTTCGTACATGCTGCACTTGTACAACAGGTACAGAAAAGGACGCATGCCGTACAGTGCAGCGAATACAGTCAGAAGTTTCTTTCCCACTCCAGGTGAGTACTGGGTTTTTAAAATTAGTGTTTATGATCTTTACCGTAGATCTTTAACTATCGTTATCGTGGTTGGCAAAGATAATTTAACCTGGAAAAATTATTTTTATTTATTTAATTATTTTACTGAAATTGAGAAGCAAAGAATCATTTTTTATTTTAGCAAATTTAGGATTTTCATTTATTTAATTATTTTACTGAAATTAAGGAGCAAAGAATCATTTTTAATTTTAGCAGGTTTAAGATTTTTATTTATTCAATTATTTTACTGATATTGAGGAGCAAAGAAGGATTTTTGATTTTAGCAAGGTTAGGATATTTATTAATTTAATTATTTTACTGAAATTAAGGAGCAAAGAATGATTTTTGATTTTAGCAGGCTTAGGATTTTCATTTATTTAATTATTTTACGGAAATTAAGGAGCAAAGAATGATTTTTGATTTTAGCAGGCTTAGGATTTTCATTCATTTAATTATTTTACTGAAATTAAGGAGCAAAGAATGATTTTTGATTTTAGCAAGTTTAGGATTTATATTTATTTAATTATTTTACTGAAATTAAGGAGCAAAGAATCATTTTTGATTTTAGCGAGTTTGGGATTTTTATTTATTTAATTATTTTACTGAAAATAAGGAGCAAAGAATCATTTTTGATTTTAGCAATATAAAAGGAAAAGTATTGTGCAATATTTTAGCTTTCTCTGTTGTCCCATACGTGTATACTAGCTTTGAGTTACACACCCGAACATGAGCGCCTCAAAACACGAATTTTGAATTTCGAATTTATTTTTTATTCACATCATATTTTGTGTGGATTTAGGAAACTTTTCATTAATAAGCTTAGCCATTTAAAAGCAATTTGTTCAAAACATAATATATTTATTTAAAATTTAATCAGAAGATTTAGCAATTTAAAAAAAATGATTCTCCGCAAAGCGTAAGATATTTCTCTTTCAAAGTCATTCAAAAAGCTCAGCGATTAAAAGAAATATATAGCAACTGCCCGAAATATAATATTTTTACTTTCTACGTGCTAGTGTGTCGATATTCAGCAAAGCGTAAGATATTTATTTCAAACTGAATCTGCATGTTACTTAAAAACAAATTAAGCGATTTAAAAGCAATAAACGTACTTCTTTATGTGTATCAGAGTATATTACCACTAGAGTACACCACTTTGCACGAGACTATCTATCGGAAATTCTAAAGATATGCTATTTTTAAATATTTTGCCATTTTGCTTTTCAGTGGAATTTTATGTGTCATAAGTGCGAAGAACATGAGAATTCATAAATAAAGTTAACGCAGCAAAAGTTAATAATAAAAAGACCCCCTCCCCCCAAAAAAAAACAAGCCATCTTACTAAGAAGTTACATCTTATAAAAAGTTTTGCAAGCCATCTTAAAAAAAAAAAAAAAAAAAAAAAAAAAAAAAACTGAAATTTTTCAGATTTTAAATTACGTCCAAAGGGGCGTTTTTTTAACGTTTTGAGTGTTACCTTCATTTATTAAATATCATGTTCTTTGCACTTAAACCATAAAATTCAGTTCAAGAGCAATATCGCAAAATAATGTTAAATTAAGCATATCTTTAGAATTTCCGATATACACAGTCTCGCGAGCTGGAGATAAAAGTATTTTTTTTCTATATAACGTTGCCATTTCTCGCTTTAAAGCATTGAGTTTGTAAATCAAAAATTCGTTAAAGTTTTACAAAAATATAAAATCTATAATAAAACAAATTCCAAATTTGGGATTTCAGATGCCCATATTCGCAGTAGGATTTCGTCATTCAAAATTCGATGGCTCTATGTACCATTGTTTTATCACAATGCGAGAAATAGACAATCATTTATGCAGATTTTTCATTATTTAATTACTTCAAATATAATGCAGGACTCTAACATTTTGTGGCAACAGTTTGAAAAGTGAACCGACGTTTATGAGTCCGACGCAAAATGCCAAAACGAAAGCAATAGTCCTTCGGGACTGAAATCCCTTTGGACTAAAAAAAAAAAAAAAAAAAAAAAAAATTTGCGATTATGCGTCAATCAGTTTCACTTTTCAAACTGTTGCCACCAAATAGTATCGTTCTATATTATATTTGAAGAATTTAAATAATGAAGAATCTGCATCAATGTATGTATGTATGTTTCTCGCCTTGTGATAAAGAGCCATCCTATCCAATTTTGAATGAGGTAATCCTGCTGCGAATATGGGCATCTGAAAGCCCAAATTTGAAATTTGGAATTTCTTTTATTATCGATTTTATATTTTGTAAAACTTTAAAACGAATTTTTGATTAGCAATCTCAACAATTTCAAAGCGAGCAATGGCAACGTCGTACTTAAAAAACTTTTTTTTTTTATCTCCAGCGCGCGAGACTGTGTATCGGAAATTCTAAAGATATGCTCATTTTAAAGCTATTTTGAGATATTGCTGTTGAATTGAATTTTATGGTTTAAGTGCAAAGAATAAGTGCAATATTTAATAAATAAAAGTAACACATAAAACGTTAAAAAAGGTCCCTTTGGGCGTAATGTAAAATCTGAAAGCTTTCAGATTTTTTTTTTAATTTATTTTATTAGCCCAAAATGGTCGTTAACCCGAAAAGGATATTAGTCTCCAAACGGCATTTTTGCTTAGAAGCATTTAAATACGTTGTATCACTTTTCAAATTGTTGCCACCGAATATTAGAGCCCTCTATTATATTTAAAGAAATTAAATAATGAAGAATCTGCATGAATGTATGTTTCTCAGATTGTGAAAAAACAACGGTACCTAGAGTCATCCAGTTTTGATGATGTTTAACTGGCCTTTGACGTGGCGGATTTGTTTTAACATTAAAGATCTTTCTCTGCAACATTTGAAAACATCTCGTTTTTTCCTTGGATATGTATTTGGAGCAACTTTTCCACTTGAAGCCAAATTTTGATGTTTTTTGCCTCTTTTGCTGACAATATTACCTATCGTAGTTTTAGATATCGAAAACCCATGACATTCACAGGATTTGTTAATAATTAGACGCGAATAATTTTCTTCGGAAGCAGGACAATAATAGCTTTTTATTCATTTCTTCCTTATAAGTGGCATTTTGCGTGAAAACGAGACTGTCAAGTAGCAGAGGATGATTTATACCTTCAAAAACATAGTTGCAGTTAAAAAAAATTCCGAGCAGACAAATTGTTTATAGAAAAAAAAAGTCATCTAAAAAATATGCGAACAGCCTATGTTATGATTTGGTTATGGTCTAGCTAATCTCAGTAGATTATTCCTTCATTTCCAACCATACATTTAACGAAACCTTTTCGAGATGCAGTCCGTTTTTTGACGTGAATGAGGGGAACGATCTCTGCTACGCGATATATAATCCTTGGAGATATGGCATTATGGTAAAGATCCATTTCTCACCACCTGTCATAGTTGACTCCAAAAATAATTAATTTCTGGATCAAGAAAGCAAAGAGAGACATGTCATGGGTCTCAATTGTCATTGCTTTGCAGAGAGATAATATGGAATCCACTGATCCAGCTTTGTGGTGAACCCACCTGCGCGTATTCGTCTTGAAACTATTATTCTGAGCACGAATACCGTTTGCTTCTGATTTCCCAATAGCTGCATGGGAGGCATTCGATATTGTATAGTCCAGAATCTGCTCAGACATCTTTGATGGGCATCCGAACCGGGGCTGATTTTTATAACTACTGTCTCTATCCTGAATATCCTAAACCAGCAAAGACATATGCTAGCATCGAACGCTCCTTCTTCTTCCACTTGACGAATATTTCGTCGGGATATAATATTGCTTCTACCAAACATTGTACAGCAAATACACTCATGTCCATAAATTATAAGGATAATGCAAAATCAGACAAAGGAAGAGTTAGAAGCAAAACAAATTTGGCTCGTTTCTAAAGCTTATTTATTAAACAAAAGGTAAAGAGCAAAAAAAGATGCTATATGTTTGATATTATTAAAAAAAATTAGTGATTTTTTCTCCCTGGAGCAAATTACAAAAAACCTATTTACAAAAAACCAATGTTACATGGTAGGTATGATTGTTAATACATTGTATGTCTCCCAGACGATGCGATACAGTCCGTACAACGCCTAGGCATGCTGAGTATCAAATTATCGATCTGATCTTGGGGGATATTACACCACTCAAAAAGCAATGCTCTCCGAAGTTTCGGCAGACATGTAAGAAGAGGTTGACGGGCTGCAACTCGTCGGCCAAGCATGTCCCACACGTGCTCTACTGGATTCAAGTCCGGTGAGAATGCTGGCCAGTCCATACGGGTAATATCCTCCGATTGAAGGCATTCGCTTACGATGTTTGCACGGTGAGGACGAGCGTTGTCATCCATAAACGCAAACTGTGCTCACATGGCACCCCGAAACAAACGTACATGTTGTTCCAGAATGACGTCCCGATAGATTTGGCTTATCATGGTTCCAAATTGAACATGTAGGTCAGTTCTGGAACCCAGAATAATTCCACCCCAAACGAGCACTCCTGCACCACAGTAACGGTGTCGTTCAATGATGTTTTCTTGGTGGTAACGGGTACCCGGAGCTCTCCATATGAAAGTCCGGCGAGAATCAGACTGCAAGCTAAACCTGGACTCGTCGGAAAACATCATACAAGCCCACTGTTGCAGTGTCCACAATGCATGCTCTCTACTCCAGGCTAACCGCAGGCGACAGTGAGTTGCAGTAAGTGGACACATCTGACAGGTCTACGAGCATATAGACCAATCTGCCCTAAGCGTCTGTAGACGGTCTGCCTTGAAATTGTCGTACCAGTGGCTGAAGAGAGCTGACGAGACAGGTCTGAGGCTGTGCTCTGTTTCTTTTGCAGTAACTGCCAAAATCGGTCCTCATTCGGCGTTGTAATTCTGGGGCGACCTGTGCTGTAACGTCTACTCACATTACCATCATCTTAGAATCGTTGCCAAAGCCTGGAGATGACACTTTGGGCAATTCCAAGTTCGTCTGATAC